CTGACTCTTTTAGTTTTAGGACTTACAAACAACCGTTATGTGAACAAAACTATAATACTCTCTTTAGCAACTTTGTTGCGAGAGTATAAAAATAATATCGAATATCCACGAAAATTTTGACATTGAATCAATTAAGAGCACTTAGCGGCTAAAGAGCAAACGTTGAATGGACGACCACAAATTAACCAAAAAAAGTGGTCGGCAATCAACAAGCAAAAAAGAAAAACCAACAAAATAATTAATTGGCAACGCACAAAAAGTGCCGCAAGCAAATAAGAAATGACGAAATTTTCGAAAAACAACACGAAAAAAGCATAACAACAAATCAACGCTCAATAAACAACAAAATCAGAAAAATCAACGCATAAAACAACAACAAAAATAACATAGGCAAATTTTTAAAACCAAAGAAAGAGCCATGCAAATTGCTAGCACATTGTTGTTGTAGTGCATAATTCAATTTTGTCAGCTTGCCACGTCATGCTGCCAGTGCATTTTCACTATTTACCAGGCATAGTGTGTAGTAGACTCGAGTGTGGTGGCGGCGGTGGGCGTCCGTCGTCCAGCATGTAGCCTTGACCGGGCGCATGGCAAACGCCACCCATATCGATGCCTCCGTTGCCTGTTGCGCCTGCAATGCCACCCAGGTGACCCATACCGCCAACCATACCCATGCCACCGCCGCCACCGCCAGCAGCATTCATTGCAGCGCGTTGCTGTAGCGCCACAAGCCCAGGGCCGAGCGGATGTTTGCCAACGCCCATATGTTCCCCAGCGCCACCAGCACCAGCCGTAGCGGCATTGCCCACATTGACCATGCCCATGCCGGGTAGCATCATGCCCTCTGTTGTTGTGGTTAAGGTTGACGTCGTTGTGTGGCAATTGAGTTAATCAGCATGTCATTGCGTTGGTGTTAGTGAGCAGGCGATAATAATCGAAATTGTGGCAAATATTCCGGTTGACGTTGTCGTTGTTATTGTTGTTTATATTTCCGTTTTACGTTGATGTCACATTCACAAATATATGCATGTGTGTGTGTAAAGAGGGACGTTGTAGCATAAGGGTGTGTTTGTTGTTATTGTTGCAGGTTGCAGGTTGCAGGTTGCAGTTACATTGAAGGTTGTTGGCAACATTCATTGGCGGTCATTTGATTAGCGACATAAAGTTGGCAGTTTTCGTTTTATGAAAACGTACACATATAAAAACACAGCGGTGGACGGCGTGAGGAGAGGATAAGCAATTCCGTTATAACAAACATGGAGTGCAGTTAAAGGGAGAAATACAAAGAGTATATAGTGTTAAAAAAGGGTGGTATTGGAAAATTATATAAGTACTTATGACGTTTATATACACTGCGCGTCACCAGTTGGTTAGCGCACCTTAATCAACCTAACACATTTGCTTCTGATTGTTTGTTATTAAAATATTTTACATTTTTATGATTTTCTGATATTTGTATAAAGTGCGATAAGAATTATTTTTGCTATTTTTTGTTTGTTTAATTCAAATTCTTCGTATTGCCTAAGTGCTCTCATTTCTTTAATATTTCCTCCATGGATCGTTTTACGGCTAATTGAAGAAAGATGAATAGATCTAATTTTAGAAGAAATCCCAGTAGATAATGAATCAAACGCGGATATAGAGTCTGATGATAAAGAAGACCAAGTTATAATTTCAGAAGACAATGAAGATCGTTTTTGTGTGACGTTCTAAATGAAATCACGAAATGACGTTCTGAGGAAATAGTAGGAACGAAAAATATTCAAAACTCGTTTCCTGAAATTGTGGAATTGGAACAAAATTGAAAAACAGCATAGATTTTACAGTTTGACTCATTGGTGGGGACGTTAGCTCGTTTTTTGAAGATATGGCCATGGCGACACAATTCTTCTTGTCGTCCATTGAAACTATTGTTGAAGGAACCATATTTAATTTAAACTTGTACGCGGTACAAAAAACAAAGCAAAAAAGTGAGTTCCTCGCATTTCTTAGCATCAATTTCATTATGGGTTACCAACAACTTCAAAGTTGGCGACATTACTGGAGTACGAGTGAAGATCTGGCTGTACTCGTAATATTCAAAACAATATCCCGTAACAGATTCGACTCAATACTGAAATTTTAACATGTAAATGATAATCAAATATTCCAGAAAACGCTTTCAGCAGGTGTAGCACGAAACCAAAGGATTATCAGTTGCCGAATCAATGACTCTTTTCAAGGGCAAATCTCCATCAAACAATATTGCTCCAAAAAATCAATTAAGCATGATTATAAGTTGTGGCTTTTGTCGGATCAGATGGATATATTAAAAAGTTCCAAATATACCAAGGAAAAGATGAAACTGTGAAAGCAAGGTGCGAAGGATTTGGTCTCTGGGAGAGAGTTGTTTTTCGAACACAGAAAATGATTGGGGCAAGAACAAGAATTTATGCAGTGGGTATCTTACTCATTTCAAGACAATTTAATAAAAAAGTTGTGGGATTGTTGTAAACTTTGCGAACACGTGTCTGGCGGGCAGTATTCAACGAAAGAGGAATTAATTGAATATATTAAAAATGCTTGATCAACGATTTCCTTAAATTGTATTAGAAAATTATACGAAACGCTAACCAAGCGGTACTTTGGGATTATAGTCAACAATGTGGAATCGATTCATTATTAAAAAAACTCTAAAAAGAATATTAAAAAAAAGCTGATATGTACTAATCTGATGATCTAGTTGAAAATTTTATTCGCTTTGTTCATTATAATTTTTGAATTACTTGTATAGCTTCTTCAGTTTTGTTGGAAATTAACCCAAACTATGTACAACTGAAGTGTGCTATTCTGATGACTTGCAGTGTACAGAAATATAGCTACATATCAATGAACGTACGGTATTAGTTTATATATAATCTTAGTATAAGTATACTTTGTCTTACGAAATTTCCTATTTTTATTGTGTTCGAAATCGAAAGAAAATGTCTTTTTTTTTGGTCGCAAAATTGTAATAATTTATATATTATACAAGTATGGTTAATAAACATATGATCAGATTTGGCCCGGACTGCACGCAAGTTGAATTGAATTTTGCCTAGATTGGTTCAATCTTTTTGATGTTCGTGTGAAGTTTGATTTGATTTCCACATGTCAATTAGTGAGTGTTTGGCAGCTCTTTGGGTATGACTTGAATTTACCATTGAAATACTTGGAAAAGTCTGCTTGAAATTATGGATTCCCAATAGAATCACTACTACGAAATCGTTCAAAATGTTGCTGAAGTATTTTCGAGTGTCTATTTCGTTCACAAACATAAGTATTTGGGTGGCACAAAACATAATCTGAAAGTCTTGAAGTCATTGCCATCTCTGTTAATGACGAAGACATCGAAAAAGTGCTTGAAAATAGTCGTGTTGGCATCAGAGCGACAGCAGAGGATCTCAATATTACTTATAGATCGATTGAACACGTTTTGGTTATTGTTTTGGGCATAAAGTCCACCAATATACTATAACACAATTGTATTCTATTTTAGTGGCAACCTCTCAAGGAAGCAAATTTTTAGTCTGTATATGTGTATGCATATACAGAGATGTTTACATATACATATTTAAGTGAATTAGGGAATTATAATCAAAATTTGTGTTTCAATTTAATCGAATGTGTTGAATTCAAGTGCGATTATTACTGCAAGAAAAGATTTAGATATATGCCTTATAAAAAAAATAGAGAAAATATATGTGTAACCGTTAATAAGCTTTCAGGAAACTTATATTTATTGAAGTTCCCTCCCTTCCTTAAGCATTCGCCTACTCACTTGTGCTTTGCTCATAATGGCCATTTTGTTGATTCATTTTCGCCGGCGAGTCGGTATTCAGCTGAGATGCAGTCACGGAGCGTGTTTGCAACGTGTTCGGCTTGGAATTCAGCGCAGAGCCGGCGGCACTCACAGCGCCACTATTCGGCTCGTCTAACAATTGGCGCAGTCGTTGCAATTGTGCTTCCAGTTGGCGATTGTGATCTTCCAGTATTTGCATACGTGCCTCAAGTCGACCCTTATGTTGGCGTAGCAGCTTCGCCTCGGCAATCATATCCTAATTGTAAAGCAGATTTGAAACAATGATATTGAGTGTACAATAGCAGTCTCTCTCTTTCTCTCTTGCTTACCTGCCCATGTTCACCTTGACCTCCGGCATTAGCTCCAGCAGCCAGGCCCCCCATGGCGGACGTTGAGTGCTGCATGCCACCATCCGCGTCGGGTGTGGTGCTATTTTGTTTGCTGCACAACTGCTGATATTCCGCTTGTAAATTGGCGTTCTCCTCCTCCAGGTCGCGTATAATCGCTTCCAGCTCTTCACGTTGCTCTGCATCCATGGCTGCCATTACTTGAACTGGCGATTTGGGGCCGCTACCGTTATTTGTGGGCAATGCCTGACAGTACTGGGCGATCAGTTGATGTTCGTCGTCGCTGTCGGGCGTTGAATTTGAACCGGTACAATATTCAACTTGCGCCAAACGGGAAGCGTACATTTCGAGCCGTGAGTGCATATCATTTTGCAGCGTGTGTGTGGTGTGTTGTGGGCTTGGTGCGGGACTCTCTAATGCATCACCTATTTGGTAGAAGTTTATATGTTTGAGTATTTATTTCTATAACTTTCGAAATGAGTTGAGCTTACCCTCGAGCACGCTTTGTACCGGCAAATAGCCGACACGTGGATGCTTTTTGAAGTATTTGCGACTCTTGAATTTGTTCTTCAAAGCGCGTGTGAAATCGCGAACGTCTTCTGTTGAGGTGGTCTACAATTTGATGGGATAAATATGGAGTTTTACATAGAGACGAAATATAATATATATAATAATTTGTAGAAGTTCTAGAGAATCCAAATGCGCAAAACTTGGCTGTGAGGTTATAATCTTTTTCTTTTTATATACATATCTATATCTTTATCTGTACTGCTGCCTATGTCTTTGTCTCTAACTCTATCTATATCTCTATAACTGTCTCTATCTCTTTATCTATCTTGATTTATCTGCATTTTTTTTTATCCAGAACAGGGTATACTAAATTTGCCTCGAAGTTTGTAATAACCAGATATATCTGTATATATGTGTCCTAATCCCTCAGTTTTGAAATTTTGCGCACCGCCTTTTTTAACAATCAAATCAAATGCTTGTACTGGAAACCTTATCTTTATCTTAATCTCAATACTTATGTTTATATTTATGCTTATATTTACCTTTATCTTTATCTTTATCTTTATCTTTATCTTTATCTTTATCTTTATCTTTATCTTTATCTTTATCTTTATCTTTATCTTTATCTTTAT